CCAAAATATTGAACACTGAAGCATGATGAAGAGCATCAGAATACTGTCAGATAGAATGCTGGAAGATGAAACCCTCAGGTTGGAAAGCACCCAGAATATGAGTGGGGAAGAGCTGCTACCTCAAAGTACAGTTGACTGTAATGATGCTGATGGAATAAAGTTTTCAGGCCCTTCATTTGCTGATGGGACAAAACAAACTATTCAGAATAATAATCAGAACATGTTTGTACGAAATATGAATCTAGGAAAATTGGAAGCTGTCAAAAATGAAGTGAAACACATAAACACTGATATCCTAGCAATTCGTGAGCTGAAATGAACTGGTATTAGCCATTCTGAATCTCAAAATCACATGGTTTATTATGCCAGGAATGAAAAATTTAAGAGGAAAAGCATCACATTCGTCATCAAAAAGAAAATTTCAAGGTCTGTCTTGAAGTACAATGCTTTCTGTGATAGAATAACATCTATACCTATAAGGAAGATGAGTTAATACCACTATTATTCAAATTTACACACCAATCACTAAAACCAGTGATGATGAAATTGAAGAATTCTATCAACGTCTTCAGTGTGAAATTGATCAAACATGCAATCAAGATGCATCGATAATTACTAGCAATTGGAATGCAAAGACTGAAAACAAAGAGGAAGGATCAGTAGTTGGAAAATATGGCCTTAGTGAAAGAAACAATGCTGGAGATCACATTACAGACCAATGAATTCTTCATTGCAAATAACTTTCAAACCAGATAGAAGACACAGAAATCAAATTGACTACATCTGTGGAAAGAGACGGTGGAAAAGCTCCATATCATCAGCCAAAACAAGGCCTTGAGCAGACTGTGGAACAGAACATCTGTTGCTCATATACAAGTTCAGGCTGAAGATGAGGAAATTTAAAACAAGTCCGTGAGAGCCAAATTATAACCTTGAACATATCCCACCTTAATTTTGAGATCATCTGAAGAAAAGATTTGATGCATTAGACACTGAAAACCGAAGACCAGAAGTGTTGTGGTTTGACATCAAGAATACTAAAGAATACAAGAAACAAAGGGAATTAAGTAGACAAAAAGAAGGATAAGACCAAAATGCATCTCAGAAGAGACTCTAAAACTTGCTTTCCAACACAGACATGCTAAAGCAAATGGAAGAAATGAAGAGGTAAACAAGCTGAGTAGAAAATTTCAAAGGTAAACTAGGGAAGACAAAGTCGAATATTACAATGATAGGAACAAAGACCTGGAGTTAGAAAAGCAAAAGGGAAGAGCATGTTCAGCATTGAGAATATGCTTAGAGAACTGAAGAAAAAAACTCAGCCTTGACTTGCAATATTAAAGGATTCCATGGGCAAAATATTGAATGATACAAAAAACATCAGAAGATAGAAAGAAAACAGTCACTGTATCAAAAAGAAATGGTTAGTGACTATGTGTTAATCATTTGAACCACCCAGGGACTCATTATATCTCACCAGTCACTTCTTGGAAACCCTGTACCTTGGAAAACCTGTGGGTTGGAACCGACTCAACAGCAATCAACAACATGTAATCAATATAAAAATACTGAGATTTTAAATTTTTTATTGTGGTGAAATACGAGGGAGCGTCATAAAATTAATGGAATTAAAAGATAATGGAATCAGGACTGACTGTGAGGGTTGGAAATATAAAGGTAGGGAGGGGAGGGGAGTGATTGACTTTGCAGTCTAGGAGCGGAGGTCCCTGGGACCATCAAGGGAGAAGAGCGGAGAGCAGGACCCTACCACCCAGAGAAGCAGCGATGCCTGAGATGGAGACAGAGACGATGACATGGAGAGACAGAATGCTGGGAACTCTAGACCCAGAGAGGGAAAGGGGCTGTGTTGACCACCAGGGGGCAAGCTTGCAGGGTATACCCTTTGGTTGGTTGATGATGCATGGAGGGGATTGTAACCATGGCAATGAAATGATATACAATAGGATGAATGTAAAGCTAATGTTCTCCCATGTAAACTATCATATAATTCACAATAAAACATTTTTTTTTTAAAAAAAAGCTCATGAACAGCCATCTAAGGTGCAATAATTGTTTGCTCCATGTGTGGAAGAAAGAAGAGTGAAAATTGAAGACGCTTGGAATCTAATTAGTCCAACAAATTAATGGAACATGTGAATATCAGTCTCCACAACTCTGAGATCAGAGCTAGTGCCCAGCTACCAACAACTCTGAAAGGGATCACATTAGAAAGTTCTGGATAGAGTGGGGGGAAAAGTGGAACAAAATTTTAAAATATTTTTAAAAACCTTGGGGTTTACTGGTCAGAAAGAGAACCCAAGACTATGGCCCTCTACCAACCTTCGGATCTGGAAAGGGACTCACCCTCATGGCCCAATTTTCAGCCAGACAATTGATGTGTGTATATATATGAGGGGCAACAACACAAGCAAGGTATGCTCACCACGGAATGGTCAATCATTCAAAATCAAAAGGGCAACATTTACAGAAGAACAAAGTTGAGAAGGGATGGGAAAGTGAGTGGAACGGAAAATAGGAACCACACACAGGGAGGAAGTAGGATAAGTGTTGTTGCATGGAGGGGATTGTAATCTTTGATACGAAATAAAGTGTATGATTTGCTGAATGTAAAAAAAAAAGGAATTTTTTTTTGAAGCCTTCTCATTTATATATATATATATATATATATAAATTTGTCTCATTAACCATTTTTACGTACACAATTCAGTTATACCACTCACCATGTTATACTATCATTGACACTATTTACAAAAGTTTTTCACTTCCTTCATTACCTCAAATAGTAACTCAGTAATTTAAATAATAACTCAGTAAATTAATAACTGTCATTCCCTTTCCCAACCAGCCTCTGATAATCAATCATTGATAAACTTTTGTGTAAATTCATTTGCCTATTCTAGATATAAGCAACCATCAGGAACTCAAAAGATGTATTTGCTTTAGACAAGTCTAGTGCAAAAGATCTCTTTTAAAGTGTTAAAGAGCAAAGATGTCACTTTGCAGACTAAGGTGCACCTGACTCAAGCCTTGGTATTTCAAAGCACCTCAGAGGCATGTGAAACTTGGATATTCTTTTATGAAGTGTTAAGTTATACTAATTCTACCAATCAATCAAGAAACACAGATTTTAAAAAAAGTTAAAAGCCCAATAAAGAAGTGAAATATTTATGGGGTAACTGAGTCATATATTCTCATCCTCACTTTACTTGGTTTAGAGCTCCCACTCCTCCTATACTGACTCTCCCACTTTTCTATTCTTACCCTCTTGCCTTCCACCAACCACATTCAAACACATCCAAGAAACCTCTCCATTCCAATTACCTATTTATATTACAAAGTTGTTGCTTTGCTTTTATACATCATCCACTCATCATCAAATGTATTACCTATAACTCTATTCCTCCCCTAAGGTAACTTTCGAATCAAGGAGATACACTAATAAGATTATTTGTTGTTGCTGTTGTTAAGTCCCGTTGAGTCAGTTCCGACTCATAATGACCCTGTAGAGGGTTTCCGAAGAATAGCTGGTGAGCCTGAACCACAAGCCTTGCAGTTCAAACCAACCTTGCAGTCCAGTGCATTAACCTGCAGTGCCATAACAGGACTCCAATGAGATTATAAGCAGGAGGAAAAGAAAGTTAGTAGAAGGAATGCTACAGATAGTTTACACTTATTAAAGCAGGAAATGACTACGGTAAAATTCAAATTGTATGAAAACAGAGTTGGGAGCGGTCAAGGTGGTAAGCAGCAGTTTAAACATTTATCACGGAGTCCTGGTGTGGCACACTGTGGGCTAATGAGTCAGACTGCAAAGTCATTTGAACTGCAAGATCGGTGGTTCAAGCTTACCAGCTGCTCCTTGGAAACCCTATACAGGGCCACTTTGGGTCAGAATCGACTCAACGGCACTTAACAACAACAACAACAACAATAGTATCAGGAGCCTTAAATAAAAAGAATAAATTGAGAAGTTATGTTAAGTTCAACAATGAGCCACGGAAAAATGAGGCTTTCTGTTCCCATAAAGCTTTACAGCCTCGGAAATCCTATACAGGGTCTCTATGAGTCGCAACCAACTCCATGGCATACCATGGATATCCCACCACCTGGGATAGGCAAAGCTCTGGAGTTGCAGCTGGGGTAAAGTTCTGACAATGGTAGAAAGCACTGTCCTAAATCTGTGATGATAAAGGTTGGGAGGCGAAATAAATAGCAGCTTGAGAGCTAGAAAAGCCCTAGTGGCACGGTGGATTAAGCAGTAGACTGCTAATCACCAGATGTGCAATTCAAACCCACCGTTGCTCTGTGGGAGAATGATGACGATGTCTGCTCATGTAATGATGTATAGTCTCAAAAACTCAATGGAGCAATTCTACTTGGTTACTGAGTCCTTATAGACTCAATAGCAGTGGGTTTAGAGAAGTAGAAGGAATCCTAAGTAGTGCAAATGGTTAACATATTCAGCTGATAAGAAAAAGGTTAGAAGTTTGAGTCCACCCTAAGACACATTTCGGAGCACGCAGTGGCTCTATAGGATAAGTACTGGACCACAAACCACAAAGTCAGCAGTTCAATCCCATCATTCATGCCACAGGAAAACGATGAAGCTTTCTACTCCTGGAAAGATTTACAGCCTCAGAAAACCTACACTGGGTTGCTATGAGTCAGAACCAACTCAATGGCACTTAACAACAACAAAAAGGCCCAGTGGAAGAAAGGTCTGGCAATCTACTGCTGAAAAATCAGCTATTAAAAACCACAAGGAGTCAGAATGTGCTGGTATCAATGCTACGGCAAATGGTTAGCAGATTTACAGAGCTACATGGGAGTGCTTTATGAGGCAGAAAGGGTTTGGAAATGCCTTCAGGGGATATGACACTGAATGTGATTCCAAAATATTTTCAGTTCAGGAACAATCTCTCAGATAAAGAACTTCATTTTGTAGGGACAGACAATTAATAGAGCAGTATGGTAACAACTATCCTACAAGTTGAAAAAGTGAAGATCACCAGGTAAAGTTCTTGTTTTCAGGGAGTCCTTGGAGAATTCTATCATGAAGTCTTCACCTCTTGAAGTCAAAGAAAAAGTAGGACTCGGTGCAGAGAACTTATGTCCTGAGGATGTCACCTGTCCAAACAGAAATTAATACTTAAGAGGTAATCATAAGACACAAAATTACAAACTAAAGTTTTATTACTGAATTTTCCTCCAAATAGGTTGAATGAATTCTAATCATCTACATTATAAACACATTATCTAGAGCTACAAGAGGTAAAGAACTCTAAATGCGTCTGCCAAGGACAGAATAAACTCACTCTCCCTATGACTTACTAAAACCTAGCCACCTTGTCCTTCTTTCCCTTCCTCAAATCTCCCTTTTTGGTAATCACACTTGCTGGTTTTTTGCCTGGAATGCTTTTGCTTCTACTCTTGATGCATATGAAGAAATCTACCCTAATCATCCATTCTAAATAGATTCTTCCTATAATTCAGAGACCTTTTACAGATTTTTCTGCATCGCAACTATTTGTTCTCTTGATTAACATTTGTCTTTCCCTACTGGTTTCTAAAGTATTTAAGAATAAAGTGGTTTTGTTTACCTTAAAACGTCTTACAAGTTCCTGACATACAGAATACATTCAATAAGCACTTGATGAATTTCTATTTACCCAAGAATTTTTGGACTTCTGGTTTGGCACTGGATCAGCACTGGAATGCGAACCAAAAGGTTGGCAGTTCAAACCTACCAGCTGCCCCTCGGAAACCATATATAGGATCACTATGAGTCAGAACTAACCCGACAGCACTTGCAACAACAATTTGAATTTATAATCTCAGAGTAAAAATTTCACAGTCTGTCAATTTCATGTATGACCTGTACATTTCTAACTAAGATTATGCCTTGAGATTTTATATCATTTGGGCTATTCCTGGGATTCTTTTTCTATTATATTTTATAACTGATTGAGAAAAGCAATTATTTTTCTAGTTTATCTTATCTTCAGTTCCATTATTAAATTCTTAACATTCTACTAACTTTTAAGTGATTCTTCTAAAATTTTTTCTTCTTTTCTAATATGTATGGCTCTCATTTAAGTCACACTGCAATAATCAAAATACATTCAAATAACAAAGTGGACAGTGGTCATCCATATTTTGTTCTTCTTTTTCACAGAAATTATTCTTCCATTTTATCACTCAAATAACAGTCGTTGGTTGCTGACAAACATTCTTGATAACATTTAAAAATATCATCCAGTCTTATACTTTTATCCTATCAGTTTCTTATAGATTCATTTCTGCAAGACTAACAACAAATTTTGACTCCCCATTACTACAATTCTGTTTGTACTATACCTTATTTGCTTCCCACGCAGTCCGCTCTGCTGATTTGAAATTATAATCCAAATAATGATGTGAATTTTCTGAATCTCTGGGAGGGTAACATAAAATTGCTAAGGTGCGAAAAGAAAACAGGTATCTTTTATATGATAGTTTGTCCAATGCCAAATAACTTTATAACGTTATATTTAACATATAGTTTGCTTACAATCATTTTGATTAGAATCCTTATCAGACATGGCTATCATTCGAAAATTGTCTTCAATATTAAAGACGGTACATTCTTTTGGAAAGTTTTCTTTATCTGGGAACTAGAAAACACAGATCCATGTATTAGTTTATTTCGATAAAACAAAAGTTTATATGTGTATACATAGATACACGTTTGTTAGCTGTTAGTCATTGTGAGTTGCTATTGAGTCAAGTCCACCCTTACTGAACTTATGTAAACAGAATACAACTACTCCATAAGGTTTTCAAGGCTGTGATCTTTCTGAGGCAAATAGCAGGGCCTTACTACTGACACATGCCTATGTGGGTTTGATCTGCCAACCTTTTGGTTAGTAGTCTAGTACTTAGCCATTTGCACCACCTAAAAATTCTACAGATCAATATATAGGCACACACACACACACACACACACAAATATATTTATGGAATCTTGTGTGGTGCTGTGAGTTAATTTGCTGGACTGCAAGGTCAGTTTGAACCTCAAGGCCAGTTGTTCAAGCTAGCCAGACA